GGAAGGAACAATAACTCAAAACAGATTGAGAAAACTTTATATGTACATGTACATTGTATATCAATAATTATTATCTTATTTTGTTGTTTTTGTATTTTATTGTTATCGTTATGTTGCTACAATTAGATTCATTGTTGCTCATTTTACAAGTAAAGCTAATACAAGAAAGAGAATCTAAGGCCTTTAGAGCAAAGTAAGCAAACTATAGCATAATACTAGCTGTATCTAATGTACATGTGATTGGTGATTTGAAAATAGTAAAATTACTATTGAGAATGAACATTCAAAACGACAAATTTTATTCTTGCCAAATGATCCATAAAACCACCAAAATCTAATAAATTCATAATAGTAATAATACTAATTGAGCCTGTCATAATAATTATAAGTATCATCATAAAATTGATTATTGTAAAAAGCAATAACAAAAATACATGTACATGTATATCTATTGCAATCTATTGTAAATGCTGGACTCTTAATGTGGTGGGGAAAAGAAACAATGAATCGAATTGGGATCTCCCTCCCTAGCATTAGCATTGTTATTATTATCATTTTAAAATAATTATTCATTCATTATTATTATGTATGTTTTAATTCTCTCACTTGGTAAGACATCCCTGTATCTATTACGAGGTATGTTGGTGGGTCTTCTCGCCTCGGTTTGAGGCCCTGCCTGTGCCTTTGCTATCTGCTGTAGCCTCTAAACATAGGACGAGAAAGAAAAGAAGCAAAATTGCGAGTGTCCTTTTTAAACTTTGGCTTACTTGGAAAAGTGGGTGCCAGCCGCGAGTGTCTTCGACTTTGTAGTATTGCTCCTCCACGGCCGTTACGACAAATTCTCCATCGGCCATCGCAGGAGAAGGAGACAGAGAGTTTAAGAGAGAAGAGAGGGGGGAGAGAGCGGAGAAAGAAACAAGGACACTAGGGGCCTGCCTTTCTTCTTGAGGTGCAGCTCATTAATAATTCATGAGCTAACACTCTATTTATACGAACACCTCAAAAGTAATATTGAAATTCACACTCACAATAATTAAATTAATACTTCCAATGATGGCCCTTTGGCTAAGACCAGTAATAAAAAGTCACTGGAGGCTCGAAGCAGCTTTGAAAGACCTCAGGACCTTTGTTAGTTAATAGTTCAACCTTCTGTTAATTATTAGCTGGAATATATTTAGTAGAATTGTATTTTATTTTGTTGTTCATTAGCTGTGTTTTGCAAAAATGTTGTATTTCGATTGTTTGTGGCATGTTTGTGGTTTGTAAAGATAGAAGGAGGAAAGTGATGATAGTTTTATTGTACATATATAGCTAGCGATTAATACTTCATGCAACAATACATTAATATTATTACTAATAACAAGAGTAAATAATACTAATAATGATAATAATAAATCGTTAATAATAATTAATATATAATAATGCATGTATATAATTACAAAAAGATAAATTGATAATGTTTCATTTATGTTTTCTCACATGTAACTTGCTTTTGATAACAATATCACGATAATGATCATTATAATTAATTGCCGTATTATTAATCATGGTAATTGTACATGTACATGTAATGAAAACATTATCAGTGGTTATGATAAACATGATCCATTTCTTTGTTTATTGATATCTTATTTGTACGCATCACCGATAGACATAATATTCAATTATGTTAATAGTAATATCATACATGTACATA